GAGATTTTTTAAACTCCTTTTTTTCATTTACATGTGGACGATGAATACAGAGTTGGTCGCAACGTCAAAGGTATGCGCCTTTTTCACGTCACGCACGTTATTTTTTTTACATGAGATGAACTGCAGAATGGCAGATAGAGACGAAATACTGTTAATCTGACTATCTTCAGATTTTACACACTTGCATATACACACGCAGTTACTGTCCTTCCATTTAGAAAGACAGATGTGTCACGGTGTGATTATTTTACAAGTCGTTTTTTTTCATGTGTAATAATATTCAACATTGCTATCAATACATTTTTCAAAAAATGCCTCTCTGTGCAAAATGTGTTTAAAAACATAAACAACTGTGGGATCCTGTTTGTCTGTGGTTTGAACAGCAGGGAAAACCAATTCTGCAGGGAGACCTACCTCGGCACTTGTGCAGGTGAAACCAAAGGGAAGATATGCTTCACCATATTTTCTAGTCTTTGGCTTAGAATGAAGTTGGTTTGGAAACATATTCAGCTATGCTTCATCTCCTGCTTTGCGTTTCTGTGGGCGCCCTGTGCTAGCAGTGTCCAAGCGTTTTGTTTTTTCCCCCCTTTTCATTTGCATATTAGTCAACTGAAGTTGAACTGAGCCCCACACTTTGGGAAGGTCCGCTTTAGTGAGAGTCATGCACTCCATTCTGTCTGGGTTAGACCAAGCTTTCACCTTAGCCTTGACCCTTGACAGTGTACGTAGTGTAGATCAACTTATCCCCAGGACACTGAAACAGTGAAACAGTTCCACATGCATGCGGCTTAAGAGGAAGAGAATGTAACCCTCTCAAAGTTATCCACTGCGATTCAAGCCAGTTTTAATGTTTAATATATGCAGTACCAATTTTATCCAGCAGAGGGGAGTGATGGCACTATAGTTGTCTTGCAAAGCATTATGAGGTAATAAGAATAATTGCAGTGCAAGCAGATAGAGAGCAAGCCAGGAAAAAAAACAGAGCATAAAGTATTCACCGGAGTAAATAGGAACTTTAAAAAAATAAGTGTTAAGGTTTTGACAGATAAAGACTTATGGGGATTTGCTCACCATACATCCCATTCTCCAGTTGTTGTTTTTTTTACTTTGTTGTGACATAATGCGAGAAATAGCACCATATTTTACTGTCTTCTTTTTCCTTTCCTCACCAAACCAGAGTGGTTAGTGGAGGCTTTTATTAAACAGTTATTCAACAGTAATGCGCTAATACAAAAATTATTAAGCAATTTATTTGTTCTTATTCTGCTAACAACCCCATAGGAGCCCCCAAAAGCTCAAAAATAGTTGTAATTTCACAGCTGATCTTAGAGACTTGCTGGTGTCCAAGAGGAGGTCAGCTTCCCAGTCAATCTCAGAAGCCTCCTGGCTCCCAAGCTGTTGATAACTGGATTCATAGAATGCAGAAGCCATTTTAAAGCTAAGCTGCCCTTATTGGCTGTTTTTCCTGGCCAGCAGCCTTTGGAGAGTCTACTGTATAACCAAACAATCTTTTTACACTGAAACTGATATCCCTTATCAGTATATAAGTACCTCTCAAACAATGGAATTTGAATGTAAAATTATAGCACACAGGGGCAAGTCGAGAAACTAGTAATTACTCTCAAACACAATAAAAGTTGCCATAAGGGCAGTAAATTAAAAAACAGTTCAAGAACTTCAGTTGACTAATATGCAAATCTTGCATGTCTTTAAACTTTAAAATGTTTTACTGATTACTCTTGTAACCAATGGAGTTTTCTGTTACTTCAGGTTGCTACACTGTGGCAGACGTGTAGATAAAAGCTGTAATCTTAATTGATTAAGTCTAACACAAACCCAGTCAAAGAAACTAAGACAGTGATAGGCTACCAACTTATGATTAGACACATTTTGTCATGAAAAGCTTCCAAACAGAAAAATTACCCAAAAACTAAGTATTAACTTAAACCTGTCAAAAACCAAAGCATGTTGGTTGACTATAAGTCAGAATGAGATTTCAGATGATCCTGTTGTGTTGAGGTGTATTTAAGGGTGATGACTTCATTTGCAGTTGGAAGGTAACATCCCATACCTGTTAAAAAAATTTTTCAGAGAATATTATAATGGGACAAGCCGGACTGCGTGCATCAAATGTCTGACCTCAGCTTATCTAACACATCGAAAGAATGGTTCACTCACCAACATCAAGTGAGGTTATACCACTCAGCAGTTGCCAGTAGTGTGATGAATTTCCTGCCAAGCCATTCACACTGATGAGGAATGGTCCATAGTCATCATTTACTTTGTATTCAAAGCTGTAAACACAGGGTATGACTTTTCATGGACAAAATTATGCACAGTTTTTGAAATAACTGCGAAGCTCAAAAGAAGGTTATTGTAATTGCAAAAGTACAAGAGCACTGACACTCTTGAGAACTCATAAAGACTTATGAAAAATCAATGAAAGGAAGGCATTTTGTTGAAGCTAAAGATGTGATGTGGTTTTTGACTGTCCTCTAAATACATGCAGGTTTCTGTAGTTTACGATGATCAGATGAAAGTGTGAAGAATTGTTTGTAAAGGTCAGCAAAGCTGTTTCATCTTGACTGAATGTCAACAAATAGGAGAAAACAATTGGTCATCTGACAATCAAAAATCCACACCCAGAAACACAGGGTCTCAATTAGAATTACACATTGAGAGAACAAGAGAGACTGTATAGCTTCCTCTAGAAAAGAAATAGCTGATTAGATGGTCTTACTCAAAGCCTTGGTCTGACATTTTCAGTCTTATCAGTCCACCGAAGAGGCTTCCATTAGGAGCAGTAAAAGTGTTGTAGTTCTTAATGCTAAAGGGTGGCGTATTAACCACCACTTTGAAGTAAGTGTTATCGTTACCTGCATGCAAAGATGAAGAGCAGAAAAACAATAAAGGCAACTGGTCAGGCCTATGTGACTATTTAAGGACATTTTTACATTTCTTTTTCTTTTTTTAATTTAGCTACACTGAAGCTTACTTCGAGCTGACTGCCAAACACAAACCAGCAGCAGCAGGGCTGCAGAGAGGAGAACAGGCTTCTTCATTCTGACTGGTGGGTAACACAATTCACACCTAAAAAGTTAGATATGCAAACATGAACACAAATATTCATCAGGAATGCATAAATCTAACCATTGTGGAAAGCAAATAAAAACCTCTTAGTAGTTTATATTTATTTTTTGGACAATGAGTGTAAGAGTACGATTAACTAAATGTTGATAATCAGTAAATCACTAAAATTTTTCTAAGTGGTCAGTGTGCAACACAATAAAAGTATAATAATCACTGTTGGCTGTTTTTTGTCAACAATGACAAAGAGCTTGGTTATTTAGCTTTTTTTT